ACTACTAGGAACAAGAAGCTCCTCGCCTACTGGAGACTCCTGGCCTTACTACTAGGAACACGAAGCTACTAGGGGCTCCGGGCCTTACTGCTAGGAACAAGAAGCCACTGGGGGCTCCTGGCACTACTAGTGGGGGCTCCTGGCCTTACTACTAGGAACAAGAAGCTACTAGCGGCTGCTGGCCTTACTACTAGGAACAAGAAGCTACTAGAAGCTCCTGGCCTTGCTACTAGGAACAAGAAGCTATTAGTAATGAATGTAATCAATACTCATCGTTAGATATGATACTGATGCGTCCAAACATCAGTTCAAATTCAATCCACATTTATCAGACCGAATCAAAACAGTCCTATCTATCTCGCCAACTTTGACACATGAAGGCAATAGTCCCTCTTTGGATTTGCTGGCATTAGCAATCCCAAATAAAAATGAAAGCCTTCACCACTCACGAGGTGAACAATACCAAAACTCCACGAGATTCCGAGGCACATCGTGAGAAACTCTCCCCACACCTCGAACGTCCCAGCCGTGACTGCCGGCCTTGACCTTCAATCTCTCAATGCGATGCAAGAAGACACAAAGAGCTTCTTCCCACTGTGCTGCACGCGCAAGGATCAACAAGGCCTCTGTGGCCGTTCCCATCATCTCCCAGCCATTCGTGTGCGTCATGGCTGTGCCGACAGCAATGTGATGTATATCCATGCATCTATGTCTATGCGACTCCGCATAGAAAATGCTCAAGTTGAAGCAGCATCTTATGCTCATGCACAACCAAAGCCACACTTAAACTCTTACCAGTGGATCAAGTCGATTAAAATACCAGATTCCATCCAGAGCGAATCTGTGAAGTCTCAGGTCTGTGGTCTGGGAGCCAGACCTGATTCACGTGTCTGAGGTCATCATGGTCATCAGCAACAAGTAGTTCCTTGGTTCGCTGATTCGTCTGAAGAAGCGAAACAGTACCAAATAGATCCTAATAGGAGTAATAAACCAAACCAAACCAGTACCGACCAGTACCAGTACCAAACCAAATATAGGTTTGGGGAATGTGTGCCCCCACTGTCCAGAGCCACAAAAAATCCGATCATCCGAAAGATGTGTCCATTCAAACATATTCCAACCCTTTTGGAACTTGTCGTCTTGCACCGTTTGGGGCTGAATTTGTGAAGACCTCTGCAAGAAGCTCATGAGAAACGTCGATATACTATCTCTGCCTAGGTAAGTCAACCTGCCAACTACCATAGTTAACAAACAAGAACATGTCAGACTTCAATTGCCCTGGTTCTGTAGATGCAATTCCCACGAGTTGACACCTCCACATCCGAATTCTTGATGAGAGGTGCTTGTTGTTTGCATTTACTTTTTATATCTGAGCGGAACAGGTCACGCCATTCTGCATTTATAGCCTCTTTCGATTCGTCGGCTTTTCTAGTGAGAACAGGTACACTAGCTTTGCTAGCTTCCCCGGCTGAGGATCCAATGCCCAAGCCCAGCGTGGTCGGTGGAGCACCGGCTCATTCCAGAACAACGAGACCTGTATATACAGCCAGCACAGGTGCCCGCGGCGCGCACACACAATGGATACGTCACCCGGTTGCAAATCGGAGAATAGCCATCTGTTAGCAACCATCTCTAGATGATTCAGGCCACCTTGTCACTCATCACCTGTTCCAGGCTGAATAGTTAAACAATTGTGTTCACACGCTTCACACGTTTCACCAAAGTGGCCATGGAATGATAATCTGGTAGTATCAAGTATCAAGCTTTCGTCAACGCGCGAGAGTCAAGACGCAAAGCCCTGCCTGAGTGTGCTCTGCCGCTGGGCGCGACACCTTTTTGCCCCGAACATCTCGGCGTAGCAACTCCAACGCACGCAGCCATGACCTGGGGTTCACCACCAAGACCCGTCGGAATGCGGAAATGACAACGCCTCGATCAACAAAAATGAATACCAATATGGGTGCATGTGTATTAAATAGGGAGACCTCCCGCAGACCCCGGGCCCCTGGAAGGAGGAAAATAGACTAAAACATACTAAAACCCATTGAACACCATGGCTGTGGCGTCAAGCTCGTGACCCCGCGCCTCGCTCGCAGCAGGCTGACGAGCCTCGAGTCCGTCGTTGTCACACAGCACCAAGGTTGCGCGCAAGCAATGGCAAGAGGCAAAGGCGTTGGCTGGATATGCTTCGATTAAAACCAATGCATTTCAGCATTAAAGGCTCATCCTTGTGAGTGGAATAGTCGGGCTCCTTTATTATGTGCACAGATTAATAATCAATAACATCATTGTGGATGTATGCAAAGAACTGGCCTGCTTGACAGTGGGACCATTTCAGTTCAACAAATGCCTCTAAAGATTGTCTCGATCGAGTGGAGTGTGCAAGTCTAAGTGGCCGAAGTCAGGAAGGCCTTGAAGACCACAAAGCTTAAACGGTAAAGGAAGAAGGTGAGTCTTGCCCAAGAGGAAAGCGAAGGAAGACCCTCCGGCCAGCGACTTGCTTTGGCCATAAACCAGGGGTGATATCAGAATGCGCAGAAACATCATGCCTTTCAAAACCCTGCTCCAACAGAACATACCTTGGTGAGAAGGGTTTCGCCTCAGATGAGGTTGGCCAGGTAGCCACTCATCAAGCATTTACCATCCTGCTCATGCGCAGCAAAAGCGATGGACAGGTGGGCAGGTGCCAACCTATTTGGATCTATTTGGGTGAAACATCTCACACCTTGCGAGCTAGCCCCAAGGAGTGGGTGCGATGGCAGCTGGCGAGTGCTGCAAGCACATCAAATGCATGCACACTGGGTGTGCCTGGTGTCGGTCGTTCGCTACGTGGTGGACTAGTCGAGCTCCAGGTTTTGACTCATCCTCATGTCTGGACATTCTAGAGCCATCGCTATTAGGTTGGAGGCCATCGCTGCTAGGAGCAAGGACGCTACTAGTAGCTCCTGGACTTACTAGTAGTAACAACAAGCTACTAGTAGCAAGGACGCTCTTAGGTTGGAGGCCATCGCTACTAGCAGAGTTTTTCGGACTAAAGACTAAAGAGTTGTTGTCTGAACACCACTCCACCACTTGTACCACTCCATACTCCGGCCGTTGACCGCTCGGAATCCGCTCGGAATGCCCGGCATGTCTCAATCGTTCTTGTCGCAATGTGGTGAGCCCATCTTCCTGGCCGCTCGCACGACGTCACTAAGCGACATATATCTCATCACCTGTCATACATCTCTCAGGGCCGGGCCCATTAAATATCCGAAATACTCTCTCGAAGACCTATCTGGGACCTATCTGAGCAGGGTCTATCTTCGAGGCAAATTCATCTTAAGCAGCAGAGTTGCGGCAATTGGAAAAGCTTGCATGCAACGTTGCAGGGCAGCTCAATGTCACTGGTTTTGGACATCTCGTGGGCCATACTCTCGCTGTGGGGCATGTATTCACTAAGTTCTCCGCTTGGTATTGGGGTAGAAGGTCTCTGGCCAACCTGAAGCGAAAGCGTGGGAGGAAATGCAATCCAGCTCCTGCTAGCTACACTGACAGTCTCTGGCCCTCTGGTTTGTCCCACCACGACTCAAATGCAGAAGAAGGAAACTTCGAACAACTGTTTGATTCCCTGGCAATGCCGAAGATTGCACGAAACGGTTTTGCCAAACTGAGCTAAGCTTTCAAGGCCATGGAATAGGTTTCTTGTAATTCACATGGTTTCATGCTGCTGGCAGCGACAAAGGGCAAGTTGTGGAATAGACGTCTGCATAGTAGCATGCAGCATAACGGTTAATTAGTCTCAATCTAATGTTTCTCAACCAAGGGTTGCCGCTATTCATCGTACAGTTGAAGGAAGAAATCCTGCATCACCTTCCCAAGATCTAAATTTCCTGACTTGCTCTTCAGTGTTTTGCCAAATTGGCGTAACTAAAGTCGTCCGTCCTTCAAAAAACTATGGCATTATGATGCATTATGGATTGCAGAGCTGGCAGAGCTATGCTCTATGCCTTTTCTTCGCCATGCTCCCCCTCTTCCCAAACCAACGAAAGGCACAAAAATAATCGATCACTTCTTAGTCTTTTCGCTTCTCCAACTCGCTTTGGATCTTCGCCGAGGTGCAAATCCAGTAGCGCTTTGAGAAGCCGCTCCGCTTGCCGGTGCCCAGGCCGTAGGTGGGTCGACCCCCACGGCGAAGGAAAATCCGCCGGGTGTAGAAAGGGATGAACCTCACTGGTGGGAGATGGATGTGCACGCAAGTCGAGTCTAATACAGAGAGAGAGAGAGGGAGAGGAGAAAGAGAGAGAGAGAGAGAGAGCCCAAAAAATAGTCTGGCACAAAACCCCAAGAACTCATGTGATTGTAACCTGGTATTCACATATATATATATAACATAACATAACGGTTCTATGGATGTTGCCAGATTGACGGGTGAATTCGGGTGAATGCAGCTTTAGGCTTTTGACTGCAGCAAACTTGTGTTCGTGCGCCCACAGAAAAGGAACTGAGAAGTGATTCTTAACTGATAACTGATAAAACTGAGGAACCTGACAAAAGCAACGGAACCAAATAGAAAAGACTGAGGTTGCATCCTATCGGCCCTACTGATACAGGTGAGTTGGCCGTTGACTTATATCTGTACCATTCGATAACCATACCATACAACTACACATTGTTCACATCCATAATAATGTACCGGACGTTCAGGCATCTTAACGCTTCCTAGTATGTAACAGTAACACAAGGCCTCTTTTTCTTTGCTATGTTGAAGACTTACATCATGTTACATCAGTTACATCAGGTCAGGGCATCGTATTCAGCTGCTTGCTTCAAGCAACCAAACGCAACAGCCTATGTGGACAGCTAAGGTGAGTTGACTCAAACAGCCTTACATCGGTACATATCGGTACCCAGCAAGACCCCAAGAAGGCTGGTCAAACCATCCGAAACCAATCCATCAAAATACTGAACGTGGAAACACACAGAATCATAATCGTGTGAAGAGATTGCTTGCACGGCTTCATCAGTAGGTTCCACGGCATGGGGTGCTTTGGGAGTCTTGCTTGCAACATTCAGCGAAGTTTTTTGGCAAGAAATCCACACATGGGCTGCATTCCGCTTTTGTAGAACCACACATACAGCTTTGGTGGAATATCATTCATCCTCTTGAGAGAGAAATCGAACCGATTGTACCAATGGCGCGCTTCTTTTTTGGCATTGTTCGCAACAACCCTCTGTAGCATCTCATCTATCGTACTTACTGTAGTTTATCTTATCTCATCGTCCAACACCCAAACATTGTGAAAAAAGGGACCCCCTGGAAGACCTTGTTTTAGGGCCAACGTCAAACGCAATCAAAAAGTTCAACTGAGGATTAATTTTAGTGACTCAATAGCTGTGATGCTGTCCATGGCCCCTGCGACAGCAATGGTTCTATTGCCAAGTCACTCCTCCTTATCCAAGAGAAAAGCAAGATCTGCAAGTGAATCAGCCACCAAGCTCTTCTTGCCCTGGAGATAATTGACAGCGGCTTGGGGTTTTGGCATCCTGGAATTCGACATACAGCTTTTGGGCAACCTCTTCGTCGGGTGCTATTCTTCTCTCCAGTTCCACCAAACCCTTTACAAGGCGCTCCCCGGACAAGTTTGGCACATCTGTTTTCTGTTTCAATTGGGAATGCAGATTAGCTTACTTGGCATCGCAAAAATCAGTCTGTCGAACCAAATGTTCAAGCACGCCAGTAGAAGACAAATTCTGCATCATCACAACAACAATCAATAAGCCATCACGCTCTCGTCACCCACAACATTATTCGACCCACAGATCCACAGTCACCGGCCTGGATGAAGTTCTCGTCTATCGCAGCCAGCAGCAACCGCCGCAGCAGCGCACGCGGAGCCACCGGCCCCGGAGACTGGGCCAAGAGTTGGGCACCGAGAAGAGCGGAGCGGAGGACACCGGGTCGGAGAAAAGTCTTGGAAGAAATGATTAGTAATAAGAAGCAACTAGTAGCAAGTGCAGCGCTATTAGTAGCAAGGGCATTACTACTAGTTACAAGAAGCAACTAGTAGCAAGTGCAGCGCTATTAGTAACAAGGGCATTACTGCTAGCTACAAGAAGCAACTAGTAGCAAGTGCAGCGCTACTACTAACAAGGGCATTACTACTAGTCACAAGAAGCAACTAGTAAGGGCATTACTACTGTTACAAGAAGCAACTAGTAGCAAGTGCAGCGCTATGAGTAACAAGGGCATTACTACTAGTTACAAGAAGACACTAGTAGCAAGTGCAGCGCTATTAGTAACATGAACACTACTACTAGTAACAAGAAGCTACTAGTAGCAAGTGCAGCGCTATTAGTAACAAGGGCATTACTACTAGTTACAAGAAGCAACTAGTAGCAAGTGCAGCGCTACTAGTAACAAGGGCATTACTACTAG